CCCCCACCCCCCGGTGCAGCCTATCCCAGCTACACTCCCCTGTCAGCATTCACACACCACAGTAAGAACAGGCCCAGTTCATCACAGGGACGAGGGGCTATTTCCTGCCGATTGCATTGGCGTGCAGAGTTTTAATACACCAGGATGGAACTGGAGACAGACAGGGAATCGGGGTGCAAATATTTCTGGTTTCATTCCTTCAAAACGTTTTTGGATGCGGTTTGCAGAGCGTCGTATTAAGTGACGCTACCAACCGGCAATACAATTTCGATTTTAAAAAATCAATTCCAAGCCATTTCAGGTGCAGTACCTCTGCTCGAATCCTGCCAAATTTTGTGATCTTCCAGACACCTTTAAATGTGTTGTCGTGTTTTTTTTCTCTGCGGGGTGGCAAGTGAAATTGGCCGTACGAAGAGCCAACCGGCTCAACAATCAGAAATGATTTGATCGCCTGTTTTCCTGGTGCCGTAATTTTTAAGCGCTGTTTGCAGCGAAGGCAGGTCAAAAAAAATCACCAAAAAAACTAGTCGGAGGCAAATGCTGATATTAAGGGAGTTGTCAGAAAGTTTTTGAAGTTTGTAGACAGCTTCATTTTTAGGTTCATATATAGCGGCTCAGGATACGATCGGTTAATTCTTACAACGGCAAATCAGAAGGGCTTTTTTGATGGATCCTTAATTTATCTTAGGCCTCGCTGGTGAAACGCGGTAGATAAGTGATGCAAAGTTACCAGCTCCTTGACTTACCGGGAGCCACTGGATTTAGCTTTCTGAAAATCCTGATCTGATTTAGGTTGAAAGCCCTGGCAGGTTTAAAGCCGGGAGTTAATTATAGGTTGGTACTGGGCGTGGGAGGCTTAGACAGTGCAAATTAACCTGTGGAACTCCATGCCACATTAAATGGAGGCAGTCTTTCCAAACTGCAAGGTGTTGACAGGAGTCTTTGTCATGCTTTGGGGCATTGCTGGAGACAGGATATTGGGATAGAGGTCGGACCCGTCATGAAACATCCTGGGCTTCTCCTAATCCTTAAGCCCCCCACATGCAGTATCACCCAGGCTGACAGCCCACCCTGCGCTGCCGCGCCGGCGTCTGCCTCAGTTTCCCCTGGGTGTGGTGTCACTTCCAGCACAAGCCTGACCCTCCCTTTCCGTTTTGCCACCCTCCCAGAAACGAATGTCGGTGACGGAGGGGGGGATCAAGTACCCCGAGACGACGGAGGGGGGCCGCCCCAAGCTGGGGGGCTTGATGGACCCCCGTCAAGGAGTGATCGAGAAGACGGGCCGGTGCCAGACGTGTGCGGGTGAGACCAAAAGACCTCGCTCCTGAGGGCGGGGATGCCGGCGTGGCGTCCCCTGGGGCTGAGCCAGCCAGTCCCTGCCCTGGGGCCGGATGGGAGCCAGTGCCCCATAGAGGCGACAGGCCTCATTCCCCACCCCCCTAAACTGTAATCCCCAAAACCCAAATTTTCCCAGGCGGGCGCCTGCTGCATTGGCTGACCGGTGCTGTTGGCCGCCCGCCAGCCCGCAGCGCGGGGGTGCCCCTGGTGTGGGTGTTTCTGGGGTGCAGTGGCGCTCACCGGGGGCCGCTCTCCCCGCAGGGAACATGACCGAGTGCCCGGGCCACTTCGGCCACATCGAGCTGGCCAAGCCCGTCTTCCATGTGGGCTTCTTGGGGAAGACCATGAAGGTGCTGCGCTGCGTCTGCTTCTTCTGCTCCAAACTGTTGGTGGACTCGGTGAGCTGACCCTCCTCCCCACGGGGGCCCGGTACAATTGTCCCTGCCCTTTGATAGGCCCCCCCCCGGAAATCCATCCCCTCCCCACCCTGAGACAAGTCCCTTGTCAGCTCCCACTTGCTCTGTAAGACCATAGACGAGCGGCCCCCAAACGTTTGAGGGTCACGCCTGGTGGGGAGCAAGGGCGCAGATGGTAAGGGGGCCGAGGCTGGGGCTGCAGCTGGGGGTGGATCTGGGACCTGGAGCAGGTCCGTGGCTCAGAGGTGGAGAGGGGGAATGGGGACGGGTAAGGGGCCTGGGGCTGCAGCCAGGGCTGGAGCCATAGCAATGCTGGGGGGCGGAGTCAGGGGCTGAGATGTGGCTGGGGATGGGACCAGAGCAGAGCTGGGGGTGGGGAGGGGCTAGGTGGCGCTCCGTCCCCACCCCTGTGGGGGCTGGCCTGCACCCCGCCGTGCCCTCCAGACTTTCCTCCATGCCCCCCACTCTTTGGGGACCTCTGCCATAGACCCATCACCACCCACCTCGCCACGCCCCTCTCTGTGCATCTGGGGGATCTCGGGGTTCCCTGGGTCACGTCCCGGTATGTGTCTTCTGCTGCAGAACAACCCGAAAATCAAGGACATCCTGGGCAAGTCAAAGGGGCAGCCCAAGAAGCGCCTGACCCACGTCTACGACCTTTGCAAAGGCAAGAACATCTGTGAAGGTGGGGAGGAGATGGACAACAAGTTCGGGGTGGAGCAGCCGGATGGCGACGAGGACCTGACCAAAGAGAAGGTAGTGAGGGTGTGACACCCCCCCCTTGGGAACTGCCACCTGATGTGCAATCTTGTTACGTACACCCCACACACACGCTACCTCTGAGCCCGTTTTCCTGCCAGCTTGGGACTCCAGAACCCTGCCTTGTTGAGCCAGACACGCCTGCCTGCTACAGCACAGACCCAGCTCTGAACCACGTCCCCCAAAAGCTGCAGGCTTAACTGAAAACACCTTAAGTGCTCCTGTCTCCAGTACCCAGATACCCAGTTCCCAATGGGTCCAAACCTCAAATCAATCAGTTTTACTCTGTATAAACCTTATACAGGGGAAACTCATAAATGTTTCGCCCTCTATAACACTGATAGAGAAATGCACAGCTGTTTGCTCCCCAGGAATTAATTGCTTGTTCAGGGTTAATAAGCAAAAGTGACTTTAAGTATAAAAAGGAGGATTTAAGTGGTTCCCAATAATAACAGAGCAAAGTAAATTACCAAGCAAAATAAAACAAAAACAGGCAAGTCTAAGCCTAATACAGTAGGAAACTGAATACGGGTAAATCTCACTCTGAGATGTTCCAATACGCTTCCTTTACAGACTAGACTCCTTTGTTCTGTTCCACCCCCTTATATAGCTTTTGCACAAGGCGAGAATCCTTTGTCCCCACCTCCTCCTTCTAAATGGAAAAGCACCGGGTTAAAGCTGGATTCCAGTTCAGGTGACGGGCACTGTCAGAGTCCCCGGGCGATGCTCTGGGACTGCTCCCCACGAAGCCAGGCAGGACTCTGGGGGAGCCTCCTCTCTGTGAGCAGACTGTCTTCAGGGCAAGAAGCTCCCACGGCTTCCACCTTCCTGGGTCTGACCTCAGAGCAGCCACCATCCTCTGCCCCTGCGTGAGCTTCCCGCAGCGAGTCCACCCGGCGGGGTCCTGGGGGAGCCAGAGGCCCTGTACCCCCACTTCACAGTCAGACGTGACTCTCAGCCAGCCAGTAAAACGGAGGTGACAGGAACATGGTCTAAAACAGCTTGTAGGTACAGAGACCAGGACCCCTCAGCCGGGTCCATTTTGGGGGGCAGTGAGCCAGACACCCACATCTGCACTTCACTCCTCGTCCCCAGCTAGCTCCAAACTGACCCTCCAGTCCGACTTCCTTTGCTTTGTTCCTTTCCCTGGGCCAGGAGGTCACGTGATTCCTTTGTTCTCTAACCCCGTTAGCTATCACCTTGCAGGGGGAAAGCGCTCTGGCCATTAGTTGCCAGGAGACAGAGTGTTGGCCATTTATGCACACTGGCCCTTTGCTCTGCAACAATCTCACCTCCTAGAGACTTAAGAACTGCATAGGGGAAACTGAGGCACCCACACAATATTCAGAGGAAACATTAAGAACAGTCCCACTTCGTGCCAGTCACATGTAAGACTTCATTACCCACTTGCCAGCATACAGGGAGACTTACAAGTAAACAGAGCCCGGTACAACCAATTGTCCTGGTCAATGGGCGCCATCAAGATTCCAAGCCATCATTAATGGCCCACACTTTGCATAGTTACAATAGGACCTCGGGTTATATTTCATAGTCCTAGTTTCAGATACAAGAACGATACATTCATACAAATAGGATGACCACGCTGTGTAGATTATAAGCTTTGAAATGATCCTGTACAAGAGACCTTTTGCAGGAAGCATGTTCCAGTTGCATCATATTGATGCTCATTAGCATATTTGCATAACATCGGATGGAGTGCACGGTCACAGAGGGACCCCGGCGGGGTGGGGATGGCGCCGGGCTGGCCCTGACTGGGACTCCCTCCCTCCCCTGCACAGGGTCACGGCGGCTGCGGGCGGTACCAGCCCCGGATCCGGCGCACCGGGCTGGAGCTCTACGCTGAGTGGAAACATGTCAACGAGGACTCGCAGGAGAAGAAAATCTTGCTGAGCCCGGAGCGGGTGCATGAGATCTTCAAGCGCATCTCGGACGAGGAGTGTTTCATCCTGGGCATGGAGCCCAAGTACGCCCGGCCTGAGTGGATGATCTGCACCGTCCTGCCCGTGCCCCCGCTCTCCGTCCGGCCCGCCGTGGTCATGCAGGGCTCGGCCAGGAACCAGGTGGGAGTTGGGATGCCTGGGGTCTCTCCCTGGCTCTGGGGGGGGAGTGGGGGCTAGTGGTTAGAGCAGGAGGGGCTGGGAGTCAGGACTCCTGGGTTCTCTCCCTGGATCTGGGAGGGGAGTGGAGGCTGGTGGGTCAGAGCGGGGAGGGGGCTGGGAGCCAGGACTCCTGGGTTCTCTCCCAGTGCTGGGAGAGGGGCGGGGCCGCTCCCTGACTCCGGCTGTCTCCCCCTCTCTCAGGACGACCTGACCCACAAGCTGGCGGACGTGGTGAAGATCAACAACCAGCTGCGGCGCAACGAGCAGAACGGGGCGGCCGCCCACGTCATCGCCGAGGACGTCAAGTTGCTGCAGTTCCACGTGGCCACCATGGTGGACAACGAGCTGCCGGGCCTGCCCCGGGTGAGCCTGGCTCTCCTCGCTGTGCTGGGAGCCTGGCAGTGCCGTGCGTGCTGGGACTTGTAGTCTGTGCCCCTGCCGGTTGCATGCTGGGATTTGTCATCTCCGTAGTCCTGCTCCTCTGCTCAGCCAGGGATAAAGCATTGCATGCTGGGACGTTTTACCCCATGTGTTGTCAGTCCAATTTGGGACAAGAGGGAGCATTGCATGCTGGGATTTGTGATCTTTGCTGCTTGTGCCTTTGCTTGTGATGGCACGTTGTGTGCCTAATCCCAGCATGCAGTAGAGACAATGCTGCACTACAAGCCAATCCAGAGACTACAAATCCCAACATGCAAAGCTGTACCCCAAGCCAGAGACTCTGTATCTCAGCATGCAATGCTGTGCGGAGCACTGCATGCTGGGACTTGTAGTTGGCGTGGCTTGTAATGGAGAGTTGCATGCAGGGAGGTGTCCCTGCTGGGCCAATTGGCTCAAGGCCCAGCATTGCATGCTGGGATTTGTAGCCTCTGGCTTGCCTTGACAGCCCAGCGTTACATGCTGGGACTTGTAGTCTTGGTGGGCGGCACCTCCACATTAATGATGGTGGTTCCTGTGTGCCCTGCTTTTCCCAGGCTGGGGGTGCCCCCTCTTGCTCCCCTAATCTGTGTCCGAGCCCAGTTAACCCCCTCCTTCCTCCCCCCCGGCAGGCTATGCAGAAATCAGGGCGTCCCCTCAAGTCCCTGAAGCAGCGGCTGAAGGGGAAAGAGGGGCGCGTGCGGGGGAACCTGATGGGGAAGCGGGTGGATTTCTCCGCCCGGACGGTCATCACCCCGGACCCCAACCTCTCCATTGACCAAGTGGGGGTGCCCCGCTCCATCGCTGCCAACATGACCTTCGCCGAGATCGTCACGCCCTTCAACATCGACAGGTGGGGCAGCCGGCGAGCCCAGGGGGGCTAGGGGAGGGGAGGGCCCGGATCCCCCCACAGCTAACGCCTCTGCCCCCTCGTAGGCTCCAGGAGCTGGTACGCAGGGGTAACAGCCAGTACCCGGGGGCCAAGTACATCATCCGAGACAACGGTGACCGCATCGACCTGCGCTTCCACCCCAAGCCCAGCGACCTCCACCTGCAAATCGGCTACAAGGTCGGCGCGGCCGGGGGGTGGGGGCCTGGCTCTCAAGGCAGTAGCTTCCCCGATCTCCCAGAGATCCTGCCCATGACCCCGGTGGGGGCTGCAGAGGGGCTTTCCATACCTTAAAAGGGGGGAGGGATGGGGGGGGTCTGGGGGGGAGGGTTCAGATTGGGGAGGGGCGTATGGGGACTGGCGGTCAGGGGGTGGGACGGCGTGTGGTTCAGATTCAGGGCAGGGTGTCGGGAGGTGGGCCTCTGGGGCAGGAGGGTTGGGGCA